ATGATACTATGGACGAAGTTGTTCATGGAGTGGCAAGGGTATCCGATCGAGAAGAATATCTTGTATCAGGATAACAAAAGCGCGATTCTACTGGAAGAGAATGGTCGCAAGAGCGCGGGCAAAAGAATCCAACTGACAATATGATTGCGGATTTTATGACTAAGCCATTGCAAGGTGAGAAGTTTCGCAAGTTCAGGGATCTGATTCTTGGTTCACAGGACTAGGTCAGACAAGTATGTATATGTTCAAATGAAAATACAAAACAAAATAAACAGTGAATGAGAGCATGTCCCATTGCTGCCAATGGTGATTGTCACAATGGCAGGAGTGTGCTGGGATATGACGAAATATGAGTTTTTACGTTCCAAAAGAAACTATTCAAGTACAAAGTTTTCGGGTTGTTGGGTTGTTTTCTGTCCCTATGGCGGCCACGAGGAACCTCAGAACAGGAGCAAACTTACAAGTGTGACAAACCAATCCATAGTTTGTGGTCGAATGTTCTGCGTTTATGGTCGAATTTCCCTTCCGCAAACAACATATCCGTCCAATATTCATCCAGAGAAGAGATTGGTGTATTGCCGTTTCGTTTTCGCGGCTTTCTGAGCCCAGCAACGCCAGTTTCCCAAGAGCAACAGATTCTCGGGATAGAGCTTCGATTGGAAATCGGCACCACATAACGCCAATAGGCACCATCTTCTTGCATCCAAGGTCTTCCTTATATCCAGATCTGATACCATGCACTTGTATTGGAATTTTGGTTGGATGAGGTTTCTGTGGGACACCGAGAAGTAAAAAGAAGCGGATGTTGTGAATTGTGATGAGAAAAAGCGGCGTTGTTGGCGACCACACAAAGGAAATAATGCAATTTCCTTTATACAGAGCGGTTCTTCCAAGACATGAAGATTACCTGATGGGTGTCAATCTCACTTTTCTGTGGGGTCATACGTAGTAGATCTGGGCTCCAACATCCATTTCCATGGTGAAACGGAAGCAGATGATGTGTTGTTGTGAAAGATTGATGACAGATCGGTCGATGACAGACAGACGATAGTGACGATTAAGCCGACCTCAGACCCATTAGGTAGCAGGCGGACAGACGGATCATGGATGTAAGCGGGAGCTGCTGTCGACTCCCGCTTGAACAGCTAGTCAAGCCGTTAAATTCTAGCGATGACATTTGCCAAAAGCGTTAATTGGACCAGAGAGTGTCTGTCATTTGTACGTTTAGATAGTTTAACCTAGAGATTCGCACACATCTTGTAAAATCCCCATGTTTGTCATCGTACTCATTTTCGTCCCAAATCTCTTGTACCTCGCTACTCAATTTAACGGTTGATCAGACCCAAGCAATCCACAATGGATAGAGGAGCCTGGGAAGGCTTTCGAATAATATCTGTTTGAGGAAATCGCCTCATTCAGCCATGGTTAGGATCACCATCGTCGTATCGATCTCGTGATTTTTTCATGCCACAACTTTGGCGTTCGGATGCGCACCGAAGGCTAATCACGTCGCAGCGTTAACTAAATTGTTCGCTAGCGAAGGCTAAACGGCAGACGTGCCATGCGTGCAACCATCTGTGCCACGTTTATATACAGCTCTCAATATGAGATGCTTTGACATTTAGGGCGAAATTATTTGAAGTTACCAGATATCACCAACGTTCGCCTTCTGGCGATTCTCTCCAGTGATTTCTGACTTCAAGTCCGACACTTTTTCGACCTGAAACCAAACAACACATCAAAACAACAAAAATCGTCCACACATCATCGCATCACAATGGCTGCTGTTATTCAATTTCGTATCTGGTGCGAAGTTGATCTCCTTATTTGACCAGTCCTCACGCAACACATGACCGATGTTGAAGGTCTTGATTCTGTTGACTCCTTCGCCAACAGGACCACTTCTCAAGTTCGTGAAGACATCAAATCTATGCGAAGAGCCCCTGATCCCAACAATGCAAATGCGACTATCGGATTCACCGCTCGCGAATCGATGACCATTCATCGTATCTCCAAATATGGGAAGCTCCTCATTTTGATTCAAAGAACCCATACTCCAGCCCTTGGAACCATCCCAAATCTCCTTTTCATTGGCCAATTCTATGATGAAAACCCAGATCTCATGGAAGGGGACTCCTACCTGCTTCCTCCTCATCCCCCAAAGTTCAACAATCGCGATGGTCGAATCATGATGGAAAACATTGAAAGTTGGGCTCGTACCGCCTATGGATATTGTGGAATTCGCCTTGATTATATTTTCCGTGAAAATTCTGAACTTCCAGTTGCTGGTGACCCTGGATTCCTCCGAGCGGACAACGGCTCTCACTCCATCGAAGAAGAACTTGTCTGACGTGCTGCCCACACTGGTGCTGTGTTCCGTCGCAACAACCAGAAATTTTGGGTTATGCTCCATGCCGTCACACATGAAACTGATGCCTACAATCACGTTTGTCAATTTGCTCCAACTTTGAATGGCCGAGCTGCTTACTTCGCTCTGTTTGCACAATATTGTGGAAGGGGACATTTCACCAATGAACGCCAAGCTGCTGTCCGTGTCCTCGCAACACTTCACTGGAACGGGAAAGCTCGAGGCTTCACTTGGAATACTTTTATCAGTCGCCTTATTGGAGCCTTCAACAACCTCGAGTTGAACGGTGATCCACGCTCTGATGCAAATAAGGTTGACGTACTTCTCGAGAAAACTGTTGGAGACTCTTCACTTTCCAATGGAAGATCACATATTACAGGAGATGCCGTTCTCCGATCCAATTTCCAAGGTGCCATCGATTATTTAACAACACAAGTTTTAGCTGCAGGTAACGACAACACCCAGCGCCGCA